ATTTTATCTCTGTACTATTATCCATCTACAAGAACTAATTAAGTTAGTTTCTCGCTCTTCCAACTTATTTCGTTTGCCTTCTGTATGTCCTGTGAGTGTTAAATTTTCTAGGCACTCTTTCCTGTGTCCCAGGAATTTCAACTGTCTCTTTCTGATTGTAATTATACATTACTTTGTTGTACCTATAAGACTTCCTTATATTCTCTACGTGGTTTTCTTAACATTCGTCGATCGAACTGTATCTCTGTCGTATCTTCTTCATCCGTGAAGCATTTACTGCCATATACGAGATCAGATATTACATGAATAGTCAGCTTTCTTTTTTCTAATGATATTTCCCTCTCTTAATACCTTGTTTAATTTCTGGAAGACATCTTTCGCTATTTCGACGCACCTTCGGATTTTTGAGTTGCATTTTCCGTCGTCTGTAACTAAACTACGCAGATAGTTGAATTCCTGTAGCTGTTTCACTTTGATGCCTCCAATTCCTAGCTGTCGTTTTTATTTTGCTGATAACCATGCATTCTGTCTTCTTCCAGTTAATAGTTAGTTTGTTCATATGGCTTTCCTTTACTACTTTGTTTAAGTTTTTTTTTTATTTATTTTAGTTTTCCTTCTGAGTCGGCCATTAACATCGTGTCAATCTTGTGCTGTTAAGATTATGCCCGCCGATAATAAAGCCTAATAGGTCTTCTATTCCTTTTCGGATTATCTCGCTGTGTAAAACCGGTGAGAAAATAAATCCTTCGTCTACTCTTCTTTCTATTTTTGTCTATTCACAGAATTCACATGCAAGTTTTTGTTCCCAGCCAAAGCTAACTGCGTTTAAATTCATTAAACAAACGAATTTTTCTCTTATCGATGCCCACAAAACGTTCAGCTTAGCATCTACTTTTAAGCTGCAGTAGCACATATACATTTCACTGGCAGTTAGGAAAAAGTTTGATGTTTAAAAATGGAATTATGCTGCTTTCTTTGTTTGAACAATTTTCGACGCTCAATCTGTAGGTTGTGCATTGAAAATAAGCCGAGAGTTGCTGATAAGGCTATAATATATATAATATAAATTCAATAATAATGATTTTTGCCATAGAAAAGCACTAAAATATATATCTTCTGTAGAATTGCATTACAAATTAGGAAAACGGATTATCAGTGGCCAGGAATTAATGCAACCATTTCTTTACAAAATGAATTATATATCCGTCTAATTTTTAAGTCATGTCATCTAAATACTTACTTTCGTTTCGACGCGCTTCCAAAATCATACGTGCTTAATTTAAATATTTTTTTTTGTAAGTTCTCTTCAGATTCTATTTTTGTTATTTTGTACTAACTTCTTGGTCCAAGCTTTCTTCAGTTTTTCCTCGAGTCCATGTTGCATTCGGTCAGTCCTTCATGTCGCTAAATTTTAATGTTCCTCAATATTTCAAGTTGGAATAATTCATAGATCCTAGCCGCGAAACTTGCCTCACACCCGCAAAAGAAGTACGAATAATTCCCGAAATCATGTTTAAGTTTCACCTTTTAATATTACAGGCTGCATGAGAGACTCCAATTTTTGTTCTTTCTTCGGTGATTGTTCAGTTTGCTAGACATATTGGAAAAAAAAAATGATTTCCTCAGAATACGATGTTTTATTTTCAAGATAAACCTTCTTCAATGATGCATTTGAACGTTTGTAAAACATATTTCCATCCATATTTATTCTCTAATTGATTATGGGGTCCATCTGAGACCCATTAATACTAAGTAGAGAGTTCGATCCTCGTTAGGTTTCTCATACTTGCTCCAAACTAAGCTAAGGTTAGTGAATATCAAATAAAATTCTAGCCATTAGAAAACTTTTAAAAAATAATACAAATTTGCAGCTGATTTCATTGATTCATTACGACGACAATTTGCTTTTGGTGTGAAATAATAACCTATTTTTTAACGATACCAAGGGATCAGTGTTCGACACCTGCCGAAAACGAAAATTTCACATGCTGATTTTCTTGGTATTCTTGCCTAAATTTGTTTTCTATTTGGCCTTTTGCGGTGCTAAGTGAAATACCGGAGGGAAGATTCGTTAACCTGGTCTCGTACACCAGTTCTTGATTGTAGGAGGTTTAACCTTCATTCGGTGCCAAACATCTGTGTCCTTGTTCCAAACTCAGTTAATCTCGGTAACTATAAATACGAAAGCAACAGAGATAAAGCAAGTACTGATGAAAGAATGTGGAAAGAAAAGATGAAAGAAAGATGGCGAATGTCACAAAACAAACGGTAATAAATGTAAAAACAAGAAGACATCTATAGAATGAGAGTGAATAAAGAAAGATAGAGTGAAACTTTAAGTAAAAAAAGAGAGAAAAAAAGACGTAGAGGGTGAGAGAAAAGGAGAGATAATGAGATAGTAGAAAACGAAAACCAAATGAAAGGGAAAGCAAAAAGCTTTGTAAACTGCAAGAAAGACAATAAATAAATAATGAATATATCAGTATCGATTATTAAAGTTATCAATGTCAGTCACCAAAATAGATTTATTTCACTAGTTGCCTTCTTGGCTGACTGGCTGTTTGGCGAGCAAATTGAATTTTCCCGCCTAATCCTTCATCTTGCGTTCGCCATTTTTAATAAATCGACCGTGTTGAAGTGGCTAATCTCTTTTAATTCATTAACTCAACAACTACGAAAAGATAATTCAAAGGAAAGTAATTTCAAATGAAAAGTCTCAAGCCGAACGATTTTTCTTTCAAAGAAATAACTGAAACGAAATGAAATCAATTTTGAATACTTCAATATTTTCCAACATTGTTATCAAAATAAGGAAAATTACAAAGATGTATAATCTTTTTTAAGGCTAACCCTTCAAATTCAGTTAGTGAGACGGACTAAGTCGGTTGCTTTCACAATAAAAAACGGGATTTTTTTCAAGCTGCAAGGAGATATAAAATACCTTTATAGTAGATAATTAGTCATTTTCATTTTGTTTGGTACAAGTAGGCGTCATTATTCTTCTGAGAATCATATCTTTCACATTGACAATTGGTTGCGAGATAGCTTGCTCTACAACAGATCGGTAATTTATCTTACTTCTGTGAAAAATGGCGTCAGAAGCTTTTAGCAACTGTAGGTTATTTGTTTTCTTTTGCCACCGATACACTTTTTCATGGCGACTTTTGCAGACGTTTTACTTTTTGTTAGCAGTCTATTCATTTAATGCCCCCAAAATGTGTTGAGGACACCAAAATGATGCAAATTGCGTTAAACTGTCTTAGCGATACTTGCTTATTTCTCACGATCAAAAAAGACAAGGGAAATGCAGGAAACTTAAAGAAAATCCAGGTCCCATCGCCCAACTTCATCGGTTTCAAAAGAAGGTCGGAATTCTTGTCTCGTAGAATAATATAAATTTTCAAATGTCACGAGGTTGGATTTAGCTCATTTCGGAGTAATGGTTAACGAGCTAATCTCATTCATCTTGACAGATTCTCATCTGGCGCTCTGTAATTGTAGTCGTGTGCCATATCTAAGTATAGTAACAACTCACCTGTAAATTGGTGATACTTCTCTTAGACTAAAGAAAAATGTATATACACTGCATAACAGGGTTTTTCTTAATGTTTCTATCATTGAAAAGAAAATTCCATTTAAAGCTTAAAGATATAGCGAACTATTAATGAATCTACCTCAACTTAATAAGGTATAAAGTGCTCAATATTCAAAACCTTTCAATAAGCTGATCTTGAATAGAGCCGAATCCAAGACC